ATACTGATAGTGTTTCTCTTTTTCAGAAATCTTGACATCATCCCTCTCTTGCATGCCACATATTGAAGGAAGAAATTTCAATTAAAGGTATGTAGACATCCAGTCTGCACACGAGACCTATGAAGTGCCCTCGTTCAATTTGTATATTTGGGTTCCCAGTTGAATTTCCATGTGATCAAAGTTCTACTCTGCATGCGATCTTGCGATAAGGAACTTGATTTAAACTCACATTGCTGTCCATGAGAAGAGTTGACCCGAAGAAAGAGCAGGTACAGACAAAATAGTAAAGTTATTCACTCCGTAACTTTAACCTTAACTTTAATAAATTATTGTTGACTTACGGTATTTCTCTCGCGTAAATACGTATGATTACGAATATTTTAACACAAGCCTTTGAAAATAAGTGTATGGTGAAGACATACTTGATGATATATAAGCTACTTTTTTTCTTTTTTCAGGACGAATGCGTTGCCTCTTCACGAGCTCCGGGTGTAATTATTTCGTTTGAAGCACCGTTCTCGAGAAGATCATGTGAGGGGTAAGTAGATTCATGAAGTATGAATTGATGCGCACTAAAAGGTCACGTTATTTGAATTTTATACTTCAGTAAGGGTCTGTTTTGTACTCAGACTAGCTGTTTTACTTCCAGCAGTCGTTACTGATCTAGATTAAAGGGACAGGGAAATGCTTTAGTTAAGATTGGAACACATAATGCGTATCAGTGAGGGCGGAATTGCTGTTTTCGTAGGCGACAGGAAACTGAAACCGAAACCCTTTCTTCACAGTTCGATTTCCGTTGCTAGAGAATGACTAGCCTTCTCCAATTCATATCGAGTTAGGTATTATTTATCGATGATATTTTTTCGACAAAATTATTGTGCCTTTAAATTCAATCTGATAAACTATTGGACATGTGACCACAATTAAGTAATGTTTGGGCAAATCGTTCAGTCTTAGTTATAGTTAACTAATTTTCCACAAAATGTGACTCTTATTTGATGCATATAAGCAGATAAATGTAACAGTGCTAAAACATAATATTAACAGAGAGGCTTTCTTATACAGAAAACCCAAAAGATAGGGAATATTTCCATAACAAATAACCATTGAGGAGGGTGGGATGGAAAGAAAATGGCGAATGAGGTTCAGTGTGCACTGAAGAGGCTATTGAGCATTTGAACTCTAATCCCAAAGCAATCTTTCTTTGTGCTTCAGCATATAGCTTTACTTTACTAGTAACAGGAACCACTGAATAGTCTGCAGATGTTAAATTATGCAACAGCCAATTCAAAGCTAAGTTTCCCAAAAACTATTAATTAAAAGTTTTCTTTGGCAATTTGTCGAATGACATATTTACATATTAGATTTCCTCAGTTTCCAGTTTCAACCTGCTGTGTTCTGAAGTTAGCAAACACATGCAGTATCCATGAATTGAAATATCTGAAGGTTTTACCATTATAGGATTCCTCTTGAGTTCAATTATTTTCCAACAACCCCTTTTAAGCATGATCGAGTGAAACAGTCTTATGTCGTGATAATAAGCTCACAACACGCTTCTACTCAAAGACATCCATGTTTATAATTATCATGCAACTTCTTGATTAGCAAAAAAAAAGTTGGAACATTTGGCTGTGAATGAGTTGCATTAGGATTTAAAGCAGACACTTCAATTACTTTTTTTCATGTGGAGGTTACTTTTGATGATGTTTGTAGCATGTTAAAGCACAAAATCTAACTCAATGTGGGACAAATTGTGACAATTGTGTAAACAATCCAACATGTTCAAGATATTCATAAATCACCATTACATATAATTGTTAACAGCCAAAACGTTTGTATAAAAGTATATTTCATTGGATGGCCAAAGGGATTTTTAGGGGATGGTAAAAATAATGAAAACCATTATGGCCCATACCATTTTACAACTGCTTAAATTAAATGATGAAATTTAAAATATTTCATATCTAACCCAATCATGGATTTTTAGAATAAGGAGACCCTAGATTGTTTAAAATATAGTAATCTGAAAGTTGACTTTATGGAAAATGGCTAAGAGAGGCTGTTTGTTTTTGTCCAATGAAAAGTGTATGAAAATAGCTGGCACACTGAAAGTCTTAAAATGATTTAAGTGAGACACATGTATTCCGTAAGTCTCACCAGAAGAACAGAACTCAACACAAAGAAGAAGTTGTGGATAAGATTTTTTCTAAAATGGATGTACTTCGTAAATGAGAGCAAGTAACATTATTTTGGTATGTCCATAACAAAAACAGTGTTTTGTTTCGTTTTCTCTGAAATTAAAAACCAGTTTTTTTTTGTCAGCTTGACTCCTTGTTTACTTTTTAGGGGCCTAAACTTGAGTGTTGTAAATTATCAAAATCATGGAAAAACACAAGAAAAAGTAAATCTTACTTTATGTTATGGACATTACATTACAGACATTACATTATGGACATCACATCACAGACATTATATTATGGACATTATGACTATGACTTTCATAATGGTAATTCTTTTGAGAGAAATAAATGCTACATGCATACCAATTTTGTTCAAATTTATCACAACCAAGTTTGCAGTGTTTTTAACTAAACACTGATAACAATAACTATAACAATAACTGTACATTAGCAGTAGCAACACAACGCTGACATGAGGAGTATAAATTTTCAAATATTTTGAGTCTGAGTGTGAATTAAGTTTACTGAAAAACATATTGTATTTAGAGTCAGTACCTTCTGTATCTGAAGATAATAAATTAAAATATAACATGCAATGTTTCAGAAATTTAGCTTAGAACAAGCAATACTTCAACTTTCAAAGGCCACTGCTCTGATAATACTATAGAGAAAGTTGTCAATTCATACAGTTCAGTGCAGTGTAACTTTCCAAAATAGTATCAACTGGCTTATTAAGAGTCAATGAATAGTACTCTTACAAAAAGTTCAGAACAATCCAAGTTTAGTAATTAAAGCAGTGTTTAACTACTGCAATCTGCAGTTAGTTTGATTATTTATTTGCAAACATTTTCTTTTTGAAGATATTTAAAAAGCCTCTCAATATATGAAAGACTTGGAACATTGAAACATCCAGTGCCTTTCAGCTCTTTAGAGCCATAGAAGACTCTTCTCCTGTTGACAATATCAATATTGCTTCTCAGAGGCCAGTTAAATGTTTCCACAACTTGGTGAAGAAATTTGATTTCAACCTCATCATCAGTAACCCTAAGGGCTCTTCCAATGTAAAACTTTGTGTCACACGAGAAACCCGCCTTGCATGTGTCTCAGTAAGCAAGAACCAGAAGACAGCAGAAACATTAGTTAGAGCACATGCTCAATAAAACTGAATTGTAAGGAGCATGCTCTTAATGGGATACTCCACATACCAAAGTTACATGTACACCCAAGTGTAGTTTTAATATTATGGATATCAGCACAACCAGAAAAGAGATTTAACTTGTAATTGAGCCTGATTAAGATAAATTTATCAGTTTTGACGAAGTCAATTATTAAAAGTTTAGAAATAAACAAAAATACTCCCTTATTCTTACCAGTGTAAAAAAACATTCCACATGGTAATATCTGTACCAAAATTGTGTAATGTCCACAACAGGAAGTTTTTACCTTTAGCTCAAAATCTAACCACAGAATAAATGATACCACTAGATTTTTGAAAAGCTATATAAAGCAGCTTTGTTCTTCTTATTATTATTAAATGATTTTTGTCTGAATAGTCAATTCACAAGAAAAAAGTGTCAAGTGAACACAAAAAATTGAAGGTTGAATTTTTTTGTAGTGTCTGTAACAAAGTTTAACACAAAAATTTTGGAAGCCTTTGTTAAAGGAAAGTATCTTTTCTGCTGATAGTCAAGTACCCTGTGAGGAATGTTTTTACAAATTATAAATTGAAAAGTGTGCCAAATAAGTTGTTAAGGAAATTAGTTTCCAAAAAATTGGTCTCTGAATGTAATGTCAACATGGAATTGCCCTCATGATTCTCAGAATAAGCACACATGCAAGAAACTTCTGTTCAGTAACATTATGATGTAAAAAAAACATTTAATTGTACAAATATTTTTTCTTTGTGTGCATTTTTCTTTATTTCAATATTATGTTTATGGCAACAAAGGAGAAAAAAACATTGGAAACTGTATAAAGCATACAAAAATGTTCATTTGTTACACCCATTTGTTTACCAGTATTTAAGCTTACCCATCACAATTGAGTGCTATTGAGGTCAAAAGGAAAAGATATGGATGAACAAAAGAAATGTCTAGCTACATGTACATTTTGTTTTTCTTGAATTATTATCATTTAATTTTGTTATACTGTGTTAACTTATGATACGCTAAGCGTGACATTGATCAGACTTTTAAAACCAAAACAAAGACCAAGCATGCAAATTTGACCAAAATACAGTGTGTCCCTTATTGTTTAAAAATAATATATGCACATATTGTGCATTGCCAGCGCGAAAGCATGTTGTGTTGGGGTGTTGTTTGTGTGTGTTATCACCTTTGTCCCTGAAATCATATGGAGGGTCACATTCAGTCAGCCATTGTGGATCATGGTGGTTTTTGTTGTTGTTGTTGTTGTTGTTGTTGTTTTTTTTTTTATTCCAGTTGACTTTTGATATTTATAATTAAATAAATAAAGGGGGTAAGTTTCTAAAGAGACTGTGGTGCTGCCTGTGTGGGAGAGTATATACCAGAATAATTAAGTATTATCAACTGAGTTGATAAGGTTTAAAAAAATGAAAATTTGAGTGTTAGCCCTTTGTCAGAGCAATTGGGGTAACAAACAAATTATCAGTTTTAAACTTGTCAAGGTGGCAAATTTATGTTATCAACTCAGTTGATAATACAAATTACTCCATGATGATTATAGAATGTTGTGGTTAATACCACTTATAACCTTGGGGCACCTGTTAGTGCCCTTGTGACTGTCTTTGTCTTTCATAACTGATATGTGGTAACTGTTGTTCTGCTGCTTCCCTTTTCAGACTTTCTGACTTTATCCCTGATTCAAGGGTTATTTTCTTGAACCCAGGAAACTCTATACAAGGTAGAAGGTCTTGCTGTTTTTTTTTCTCTCATTTTTGAAACTTGCCTTCATTTTGTCAATCTGTATGTATTTAATAATTTATTTGCTGGGAATAATTGTGTCCTGTTTCCATATGTTAAAATTCTGCATGCTCTCACTGCACTCATATCCATGTGAGTATTAATTATTTTGTCTGGTAATGTTATGTCAAGAACTATGCATAATATTACTTACCTAAAATGTGCAAATATTGGTAACCAGAAGTAGTTATAATATAATTATGGTATTGGTATTGGTACAGTCTTGGGTCTGGTCATGGAACTACAGGTTTTGCATGGTAATCAACCTGTAAAATGTGCACTGATTTTTACTGCTACTGATCAATCTCCTACCACAATGAAGTTACTGTGATGCTCCTTATATAGTTGATCTACTTTTGAGAGTGGTGGTGTATGATATCCTTTGGAAGCTCTGCAGTTCTATAAGTGTATGTCTGGTTTCTGTCATTATTGTAGGGCTGCAATGGCCAATAGAAGTTTCATATGAGTGTATATGGAGCTTTGCCTCAGGGCAGCTGGCAAAGATTTTTCTCTCATGTATAACTGACTTGTGGGCTGTGTTCTGCAGATTTGTATGGGTTTAGTATCTTGGTGAAGTGTAAGGGAAACCTGATTTCATGTTTAGAGATTTGTCACTTGTGGTTAATCTGATAATACTTGCATGCATTATCATAAAGGAGATTTCTGACTGGTTTTGATTTATTATGCAATTGTTGGTCATTACTTATGGAGCTGTAGGTGTGTATAATCACCAGGTAGTGGTGTTGCATGGTGCTTGTGATGACCATCAAACTAGTTTATTCCCACCACAATGTTGTATAATATCAATGGTTTGTCCTTCTTGGAGTGGTGGTGGATGTGCCTCAGCAATGTTGTTAATAACTATTTTTCTAGCTTGTAATTGCTGTGGTCATTCTAGGAGTGGCCATGAAGGATGCATATGCTCAGTCTGATCATGCAATTATATACTGAATGATGTATATCTTTCTTTTCTGGTGGGCAATGAGAGATTTTATTTTCCAAACACAGCAACCCCTTCTGACTGTGTTTAGATGTTTGTTCTCCTGTATATATTGGTTAGAGGCACCTAGAAAATCTGGCTTTAGCACCAGTAACAAATGGCGGGGATTGCTGTACTTAACCTTATAATGGTGGCCAGAGCTGCTTCTTACTGGTATACATTGTAAATGTTTTAAAGTGGTGGTGTATACTGAGACTGACTAACTTATCCTGATGTCTGGGGCTTTGTTTGTGTAAGGATTAATGCACTGGGACACCAATTTGAGAGGTAAAAAGTGTCACTCTGATGCTGAGTTAATCCCTTGGGTAGATAATTCACTAGGTTGTTGGTGAGAAAATGCACTAATTCAGACTGAGTTCCCCTCTCTTACCCTGGAATATGGAAAAGGTCTAGTCTAAGAGTTGCTTATTTTGGTAATTGACTGAATAATTAATGCCAGTGGTTGAAGACCTGCCAGCAGTTTGTGACAGGGGTGCCAGATTAACCTAGTAATTAATGGCCTTGCCTTGCTTATAGTTGCTGTTACTGGCTTAGTGGTGGGTGGAATCAGCTGAAGTTTTATAATTCAACTTCTTGTGGTGATTCAGATTTCTGACTTTGACCCATGCACATCACAGGGCATAAAAATATCTTTCTTCTGGTAAAATAATGTTTACCAAGTTGGTGGGAAACCTCTTACTGGAATTTAGCTCCAGTTCTAGAAGTTATGTTCCTGCTGGCCTCATGATAGTGCATGCTAGTGATCCCATTTGGCTTCTTTGTCATTGCAGGTTCAGTTGCAAATGGAGGTTGCCTCCCCTAAATGTTTGGGATGCTGCATGCAGAACAAAGTTTTTTGTTGAGTTTCTTTGCCCTAACTGTAGTGGCAACTACAAGTGGTGGGTTTTGCTGTTAGACACGTTTTGTTGGTGGAGGTGGTAATACTCTAGAGACTTTTAAATCTGTTGACTTAGACTTTCTTGTTCCATGAACTGGGACACCATATTTTGTACTGGTGCACAAGCTTCAATGACCTTGTATTGTATCAGTAACAATTAGAGTTACCTTCATGTGGCAGAATTGACTGTGCAATCTGTTCTCAAGGGCTGTACTGATCTAATATCAATAAGCAGAGAAACCATGAATTGCCTGAGTTTTAAAAAGGCTTTTAATGTTCCCAGGTGTGATAGTGAAGTAGAAGCTGGTGAGGAAATCTACAAATTCCTTCTGAGTTGCTCCAGGAATTTTGGTGCTGGGAGGGAGACCTGGTGTCATGTTAGGTGATATACCTGTGAAGAATTGCATTTACTTTTCCACTTAGAGTGATGATTAATACCCCATATTGCCTAATGCCATAGAAATTGGGATAGTTAAGGTGTGTTACATGGGTTTTGCCTTCTAGCTGTAGGCTGTCATTTAGTGATTTTTGTAAACTCACTGACCTGAAGTAATATCATTTCGGTATTTGTTGTGTTAGTATTTCCTGGTCTAGTCATGGAGTTGGTTCCATCGGCTGACCTGGTAACACACTGATTCCCATATTGATGACAATTTTCCTAACACAGTGTAGTTTGCTTGTGGTTATGTACTTCTTGTCCTTGTTGGGATGGTGATGGATGATACTTCTGCAGTTATGCTTCAAATGACCAAGTTGGTGCAGTGATCTTTGCAGGGTGGTACATGGAGGTTGTGTTGTCTTGCTTTGATGTTACACTGTGGTCTATATGTTTGTGTCAGCTTGTGGATCACATTAGAGTTATGGAGGTTTTCAGGTTTATGTATAATAGTCGCGCTGGCAATGCTCGGATCTTTTTGAAGCTACATGAAGTAGTAGAAACGTGGCTTTTGTATTAATGCTGGTGGCATTGTTGTTGGACTTGTCCTTGCTCTGGAGACTGAAGCTGCTCTTAAATCACTGGTGATTCTTTTATCAAAAAGAGTCATTATTTGCCAATTGAGGTGACTCTGGTTTGAGTGGTAGTGGTATTGGCTTAATGCCTATGGCTTTGCCTTTTAATGCGTTGAGCATGTCTTGATTTTGTGTGTTACTTGATTGTTAGTGATGATTTTAGTTCTCGTGTGGTAGCAGTTTCGGAAGCACTGATAGCTGGCGGATGTAGGGGTTAACGGTTTTGGTTTTTTTCATCTCTTCGCTGACAAATTATAGTTGGTGATGTTGTCGCAGTTACTACTCCTAGATCAATTTTAAAACTTTCCTATGCAGTGGTTAATTGGCAATGTTAAAGGTGGTAATGTGCCAGAACGTGATGATCTGCACGCGAGTGGCTTGAATTTAATGCGTAACAGTGGCGGTGATTATTGGGAAATATGTGTTTCGGGATTTTTGTTGTAGTAGCATAGCTAGCTTATTTGTGTACTTTGGCAGCTGTTCCACATTGAAATCTTATAGCAGACGCTAATGTCCAGTTTTATCTTCTTTTTTAGCATCGATAAACAATTCAGACGTATTTAAGGTCAATTGGTTTGCAATACGACACTCAAGGTAAGGTTACGTGCTGGGTTATGAAAGATTTCAACAGATGCTTTTATTATTAGTGAGGGAGAGGTCTTGGATTGGTAGATCTCAAGAAGATGCCTGACTTAAAATATTCAAGAGTATAATTACACCTTATGTCGACCTTGGTACTTAGAAGGTAGATTCCATTCCATTAAGAATCAAACGTCAACGAGCCACCAGAACTGACTAAGTTTACGGCCCCCGAGAGGAAATAAAAACTCTTTTCGGTGATTCCTTTCCCCTCAAACTTTCAAATCGCGTTTCATTTTTGCTGTTTATGTCTCTGGTTGTTACTTTGTTAACTAAAAAACAAAACTCTTTCTTAATCTAAAAACTGGGTTGAAATGAAAAATCTTAGATTAAATCTCTTGTTAGGTTCTTTCGTTGGTGTTCCTTGCTCCAAAGGATTTAGAAAATGATATCACGATTTGAAACCATTCTCGGTCTCAATTGGCTATCAGGAGTTTTCTTTTTTTCGAATGGGTTTGATTAGCATCACTTAATGTCAATTCTCTGTTTGACAGGTCATCCTGGAAAAGTTAGTATTATGGCTATGGCTATTTCACCATTTGCGTCTACGAAAGAGACTACTAACTATGCAAGGTTATGCCGCCTCCTGGTGGATGTTGGATCTCAGGTGCTTCGGTCCACTTTTGACACAATACATCCACCAGCGACTCTACATACAGTTTTGGGAAGTACCTCAGTGCATTACGCCACATTGCAATCACTGTACAAAGGGAGGAAGAAAGTGCTGAATCCCACGCAATGGGGAAAGTTGTACCCTTCTCACGCACCCGTGTCTTCTGCAGCCTTCGATATCACACTTCTAACGGTGCTTCTTAGAAATATCTGTGGTTTGGGCCCTCCTGCCAATGGATGGGATCGTCTTCCCCTAGCTACAAACATAAGCATCGCAGATGACATCGCCAGAGTCAAGTATTACAGGAACACTGTATACGGCCATGCTTCTCAAGCCTCTGTGGATGACAGTAGTTTCAGTGCTTACTGGCAGGAAGTAAGAGAAGCTTTGGTGAGACTGGGAGGAGCTCATTTTAGAGCTGAAATCGACAATCTTGAGCACGACTGCATGGATCCAGATATCGAGGAGCATTATCGTGAACTGATGAAACAATGGAAGAAAGACGACGACAGCATCAAAGACAAGCTTGAAGAAATTGAAGGTAAGAAAAGCATTGTCCACTGTCAATGTGGATGAACCAGAAGGCTACAAATGTATATATTTTCAGTTAGCACAGCAGTGCAGGCGAGCTCATGAAGTTTTCATTTTGGTCGGAACTAGTCTTATATTTGGAAGGTATTTTTGCGTCATGTGTGAAAAATGAAGAATTAGCCCCAATGTTTAAACTGTGTGTTCATTTGTAATATTTTGGTCTGTTCGGGGTACTCGTGTACAATTGCTGGACTACATTTTTGTGATTTCTAAGCGTCCTATTGAGTTTGATCTGTTCGGAATCGACTAGATATTGACATAGGTATCATTGTTTTATCTGTACCTAAACGTGAAGCTGTGATATAAATTTGCTTATGAAAATGCGCATACCTTTTGAAATTTTCAGATTCACTGGAAAACATGAGAAGAAACTTCAGAGACACAACTGACAGGAGAGAGATTGATATGAAAGAGGTGAAAGAAAAGCTTACTAGTCTGACGGCCTCAGTTGAAAAAAGCACACAAGAAGGTTAGTTGGTAGAAAGAGCTACTCAGAAAAAAAAAGTTATGAAGAGCGTCACTGTTTTTTTGAGCAAATGACACAGCTCTTGTGCATGATGACGGTAATCGCTGGATGTCGGCCAACACAGCATACTTTGGTACTTTACTGATCTAAGGGCACACCCTGGCCACCACTCACACTTGCCATACATGAAGATACTCTATAATGTGTGGGATGCCACGGAATGTGAGATATTCTGCCCTGGCTACCTCTCGGATTTGATGGTGTTTTGACAGCACTCATACATATGTATGATCTTAGGCGAGATAGGTTATCGTACTGTTTTTTTTCGTATCATCTTTCTCATAATGAATCTAACTTCCTAGTAGCGTTAGATGTGACCCACGTACTTCTCAATAAAATAACCAAATCCCTCCTCCGGTCATATTGTGTAGTATTCAATTCTACATGGGAAAATAGTTGAATTAGAATCGTCTTGAGTAAAATGGGTCAGAATAAGATGCATGTGGTTATTTTACATTTCCTGAGGAAAAGACTGCAGGCAGAACCTCCCACTCCATTACAGACGGGTCTCTAGGTTTCCTTTGCGTTTTTTTTCTTTTTGCCTAGTGAAACACAGCAGTGTAGTATAACTCATAATGTTTTCATTTTGGTTGGAACTAGTCACATATTTGGAACGTTAATCTAGCGTTATGTGTGAAAAATTAAGAATTAACCCAAATGTCCACAGTGTGTTTTCATTGGCAGTATTTTTGTCTGTTCGTGGGTACTCGTGTACAACTGCTGGAGTGCATTTTTGTGATTTCTAAGCGTCTTATTGAGTTTGATCCCTTCGGAATCGAGTAGATATTGACATAGGTATCATTGTTTATCTGCACCTAAACGTGAATTTGTGATGTAAATGTGCTTATGAAATTGCGCTTATCTTTCTTACTAATGCAGATTCGCTAAGTGACCTCAGAGACACAACTGAGAAGATAGAGATTGAAATGAAGGAGGTTAAAGAGACGCTTTGTAGCCTGACGACCACAGTGGAGAAAAGCACAGATGAAGGTTGGTTGCTAGAAATAGCTACTCACAGATAAACTGAACTATCAACAGGGATTCCGTTAACTTGAGTACATAACACATCTTTTGAGCATGACCACATTATTCGCTTGATGTCGGTCAATTTAACACTTTTTAGGTAATGTATTGTTGTAAGAGCACACCTTTGCTACTAAGTTAAACCTACTCTGGCTACAAATGAAGATACTAGGTAATATGTGGGATGAATGGGATGGCACGGAATCTCAGGCTACCTCTCAGATTGGATAGCTTTTTGACAGCACTCATACACATTTGGCTGAGAAGGGTTATTGCCTTATTTTAGTTTTACTTTTGTTAAGGACATAATGAATCTAACTTCCTAATCCGTTAGATGTGACCTGTATATTCTTAAACAGACTAATGCAATCCTTCCTCCACTCAAAATGTTTCAAAATTTTTTGTAGAGTATTCCATTGTACATGGAAAAAAAAATGCTGAATTAGAGCTGTGTTAGTAAAAAGGAGCAGGATAAGGCGTATGTGGTTATTTTTTAATTTTCCGAGCGAAAAACTGAGAACGAAACTTCACAATGCATTACAGGCGGACCTCTGGTTTGCTCTAGCGTTTTTCTTTTTCTATGATTAAACGACGTGAAAACGAGGGCGGAAAAGCGTTCTTTGGTTTTCCTGATTAGTTCTTACAATGCCACTTTTTACCGACAAAAATCTTTCTCAGACTATTCGCTCCAATGATATCAATATTCATCTCCCGAGTTTCACTATCAGAAACCACTGAGGCCGAGCCATAAGTTTTTTAGAATGTTTTATAACAATTAAAAAAAGCAACAACAGAGAAAGGGAAAAAGATCTATTTAGTTAACTTTTAAAGAATATAGTGACTCTCACTTGGACTAAAAGTTCCAATGTTATTCCACAAAAGGGTCTCTTGAGAAAATGATAGGCGAAATGGTAAAGATGGACAGCGAACTGAAAGAATTGAAGGAAAAGCTGTGTACTTTGACAGCCTCAGTGGGAGAAAGCAGGGATGAAGGTCAGTTGAATTGTACAATAAAAGTTATCCTGCTTAACCACAAATTTAGCCGTAGTCAACATGGCCTGTATGTGTGAGAGGGAGAGATCATCCTATCTTAAAGAGATTCAAGTTTTCAATTTAGACAATCTCTGGAGTAATCTCTGCGGTGTACTTTCATTCCCTCCAATTATTTAAACTTTCACTCGTAATTAGCCTGAAAAACTTTATATTTTGATTAGAGCGGAGAACGAAATAAAACGAAGTACAGTTTTAACGAAAACATTGGCATTAAGTTCGGCTCGATAATAGAAACTAACAGAGCAGGTTCGACTGCATTTACAAGCTGAATGGCTTTTGGTCAGTAAATTAACATGAATCATACATGGATACCTTTTTCATCGCTCAAGTAGTTTCTTGGCAATGGTGTCGTACTCGTTCACTTGTCTAAATTCAGTGCCGAATACCTAGTAGCATTTAATGTAATCCGCATATTTCTGAATAAAATAACTAAACCCTTCCTTCGCTCATATTGTGGCGTATTCAATTCTACATGGGTAAATAGTTGAATGAGGATCGTTTTGAGTAAAATAGGTTCCTGAGGAAAAGACTGTAGGCAAAACCTCCCACATCATCGCAGGCGGTCTCAACACTGCTCAAGCATATTTTTTCCTTAGGAAACCGCACGACAAAGAGGGCAGAATGGCGTTGATTTTTATTGAATAGTTCGCACAGTCTCGCTAGATACCGAAAAAAATTTTATTCGGACTATCGGCTTCAATGATATCAATATTTATCTCCCGAGTAAATTACTTTATGACAGAGTGTTACCGTCAGTTCTACTGTCAGACTCCTTTGAAGCCGACCATGAGTTTTCTATAAAATAGAAGCAAACGATAGAGGACGGGGAAAGGATCTATTCAGTTGAGTTTTCCTGTGATGAATAAAGTAACTCTCACTCAGACTAAAAGTTTTAATGTTATTCCGTCGTCAGATACCACGAAAGGATCTCTTGAGAAAATAATAAGCAAAATGGCAAAGATGGACAGCGAACTGAAAGAAGTGAAGGAAAAGCGATGTACTTCGACGGCCGTAGTGGGAGAAATCAAGGATCAAGGTCAGTTGAATTATACAATAACATTTATCCTGTTTAACCGGATATTTGTAGTCAAAATGTCCAGCATGTGACAGAGATCATCCTTCTGCTGTCTGTTTTCGTTGCTTTCAATGCTTTATGTGTGGAGCGCAGGTCACAACTGCCCATCAGAATTTTATTGCAATTGTCTTTCAAAACTTGGCTTCTATTGTAAGATCAGGGGTGGGGTATGGAAGCCACTGTTCAGTGAATACCTACCAACCAACCAAGAGATAGTGAATTTTCCTTCGCAAAAAATTGGCATGAAATTTTCCTCCAAAGTTTCACCCGTACTGAATCTGTAAACATTGTAGTTGATAGCCAGTTTCGTCTGTTTTCAGCTATCAAATGATGGCATCTTTTTAACTTGTAACATTTTTTCTCTTTAAAAAAGAAAGATTCTAAGATTCAGTGAGAGAGACACTTATAAGAATCAAATAATTTCTTTTCCGATGGTATCAAAGTCGTTCACTCATTTAAATTCAGTGCCAAATACCAGAAGATGACATAATTTTCAACGCCGCATTCATTGGATTTTTCACTCTTTTTTCGCTACTATTAGGTATCTTTGATCCTACTGAGCTTATCAATGGAATTCGCCAGCTTTACCAGACTCGCGAAGGATGGCTCTCACCCTTTCCATGGTGTGAAGAGTTTCAGTTATTTCTTGGCGATATTTTTACAAGGCTCGAAGTGGTCAGAAGAAAGAAAACGAAAGGACAAATCACTGACGTATTTGTTGACATGCCATCAATACTAGACCCGCATGAAGAGTGTTCAGCGCCGAGAACTGTGTTGATTGAAGGAGAACCTGGTATGGGAAAAACCACCTATTGTAAAAAGTACGTCTACGACTGGGCCACAAAAAAACAACAACCTCGGGGCTGCGGCTCAACAGTATTCAAAGTAGTACTGTTGCTGAAATGTCGAGATATCCATTCTGACGTTTGGGAAGCTATTGATGATCAGCTTCTGCCCCGAGACATCGATGAAGAAGTCAAACAACAATTCTTTCAGTTTATTCGTGAAAATCAGGCCAGTATTTTATTGATATTGGATGGATTGGACGAGTTACCTTCCGGCAAATTGTCGATGTTTTGCGAATTAATTGAAGGAAGGGGACTCCCCAGGTGCCACTTAGTTGCAACAGCAAGACACGAAGCTGGAAAAGAGGTGAGAAGGTGTTGTGACACTCTACTTCAGATCGAAGGATTCAGTGAAAAGCATATGAAAGAATTTGTCACCAAGTACTTTAAAGAAAGGACGGATTTAGCCACCAAGCTCTCGCAACGGATGTCGCGAGATAAAAACCTTAGTGAAATAGCGGCCAATCCTCTAAACACAGCACTACTTTGCCTTTTATGCGAAGAGTTTGAGGGCACACTCCCCGAAAGCAGAGCTCAACTGTACTTGGATATGGTTGAATGTGTTTTGAGAAGACATAGAAAAAAGAAGGGGCTATTAGAAACGAGCGAAGACCTGACAAACCATTACAAACCACAATTGAATCACCTTGGAAAGGTAGCGTTTAATGGTTTACTTGACGACAAGTTGGATTTTAATGAAACTCAATTGGAAAACCATGCAGAAGAGTTGACTGAATTTGGATTTCTGTCAGTGCAGCCTGGTAGCAGCAAACTGAGACAAACACTGCATTATGCTTTCTTACATAAAAGTTTTCAAGAATTCTTTTCAGCATTCTTCATTTGTGGTCAGATTCAAAGCAAGGAAATTAAACTTGAAGAACTAGTTTCCGATCGAAGGTATTTCGTTGAACTTAAACAAGTACTTTTGTTTTCGTGTGGAATTTTAGCCATGAAATGCGATGAAAAAGTTGTGGCCCTTGTAAAGAATTTAACAAATGAAGTCAACAAAAATAAAGGCCGTGGTACAAAAATTGTCTTAGAGGCCATCAACGAATGTAAAAGAGAAAAGAGTGATTTTCACTCACAGTTAGCGAAGTCGTTTGGAACTGGTTTGAATCTAACCAACTTAATTTTGTCTTACAATGGTATTAGAGATGCGGGTGCTACATGTATTGCTGAGGCAATCAAAGTGAACAAGACGCTAACCAATTTGAATTTGTCTTACAATGGTATTAGTGATGCGGGTGCTACATGTATTGCTGAGGCAATAAAAGTGAACAAGACGCTAACCAATTTGAATTTGTCTGGCAATCGTATTAGTGCTGTGGGTGCTACATGTATTGCTGAGGCAATGAAAGTGAACAAGACGCTAGCCAATTTGAATTTGTCAGTTAATGGTATTAGTGATGCGGATGCTACATGTATTGCAGAGGCAATCAAAGTGAACAAGACGCTAATCAATTTGATTTTTTCTTACAATGGTATTAGTGATGCGGGTGCTACATGTATCGCTGAGGCAATCAAAGTGAACAAGACGCTAACCAATTTGAATTTGTCTGGGAATCGTATTAGCGCTGCGGGTGCTACATGTATTGCTGAGGCAATGAAAGTGAACAAGACGCTAACCAATTTGACTTTGTCTGGGAATCGTGTGAGCGCTGCGGGTGCTACATGTATTGCTGAGGCAATGAAAGTGAACAAGACGCTAACCAAATTGATTTTGTCTTACAATGGTATTAGTGATGCGGGTGCTACATGTATTGCTGAGGCAATGAAAGTGAACAAGACGCTAACCAATTTGAATTTCTCTGGGAATCGTATTAGTGCTGCGGGTGCTAAATGTATTGCTGAGGTAATGAAAGTGAACAAGACGCTAACCAATTTGACTTTATCTGGGAATCGTATTAGTGATGCGGGTGCTACATGTATTGCTGAGGCAATGAAAGTGAACAAGACGCTAACCAATTTGACTTTGTCTGGGAATCGTATTAGTGCTGCGGGTGCTACATGTATTGCTGAGGCAATGAAAGTGATCAAAACGATAACCAATTTGAATTTGTCTTACAATGGTATTAGTGATGCGGGTGCTACATGTATTGCTGAGGCAATCAAAGTGAACAAGACGCTAACCAATTTGAATTTGTCAGTTAATGGTATTAGTGATGCGGATGCTACATGTATTGCAGAGGCAATGAAAGTGAACAAGACGCTAACCAATTTGACTTTGTCTGGGAATCGTATTAGTGCTGCGGGTGCTACATGTATTGCTGAGGCAATAAAAGTGAACAAGACGCTAACCAATTTGATTTTGTCTTACAATGGTATTAGTGATGCGGGTGCTACATGTATTGCTGAGGCAATGAAAGTGAACAAGACGCTAACCAATTTGAATTTGTCTTACAATGGTATTAGTGCTGCTGGTGCTACATGTATTGCTGAGGCAATGAAAGTGAACAATACGCTAACCAATAACCAAAGCAGGGTTCAAATAACTTTTGAAGTAGAAGGGCACTGCCTTTAAAGTAGGCAGGTACCTTTGAAAATTGAGGGCCGAAGGCCCGAATCACTAGGGGAGTGGGAATCACTAGGGGTTTAAAACATAAGTCTCTCAGAAACGCATTTTCCTGCAATCTGGAAAAGAAATCTTCTTTCAATGGTGCTTACTTAATCTATTATAATAAAAAAGAATGGTACTCTGGGAGAATCTGTTTATTTCACGAGACAGCTATAGCTACATCAAAAGACTGCTGTTGTTTTCGGAGCCTCTTTTTATCTTGTAGTTACAAGTTAACTTCAGCTTATAAAGTGATGAAGTGTGAAACTGACACTTTCTGTTATGCCAACTGCCAACCAGGACGAAACAGCCGAATCAATGAGATCTTAAAATTCCTTGCTCCCTACTGCTGGGCCATTGATTTTCATCCATTCATCAATTTAAATCGATGTTTGCCATCCTTGTTAAATAGGACTAAGGGTCAGTTGAAGTTTCCTGCCCGTGGAGAGGAGCTTGCGCAGCAAATAAGAATTGTAAGGCAAACTGTCAGTGTCGCTGACGTTCGAGTTCCTGCAATGAAGTGACTAAACTGAAAATAATTAGACGTCCGGCAGTCCGATATTTTTCCCATACTTCTCTTCGAAATCCAAAATATATATTTATAGGAAAATGTTCGACCTTTATTAACAATCCTCAAGCGCTTCCAGGCAGCCTACAATTTCGAACTTGATGTTTTTCGCTAACCCTGTATACAGAGTACGATGCCATCCAAACGCTTGACACTTAAAAGCTTTTCAATGACACTGCTGGACTCGGTCCTCAAATAACTCCATATTTCTCTCTGAAATATACCAATTTTTCGTTGAAGATATTCCACCTTCATTTACAATCCTCGAGCGCTTCTAGAAAGTGAAAAAATTCCAAGGTTGTTCGTTTCGCTGACCTTGTGCACAGAGCGCGAAGAGACCCAAGCGTGACACTAAGAAAATTTTCACCGGACACTACCGTACACGGTCTTCGAATAACTAAACGTCCGGCAGTCTGATACTTTTCCATATTTTTCTTTGAAAAATGCCAATTTTTATTGGAAATATTTTATTTTTATTTAGAATCCTCAAGCGCTTCTTGAAAGTGAAAAAGTTTGAACGTTGTCCTTTTCGCCGACTCTGTTCACAGAGTACGAAGAGATCCAAGCGTAACACTTAAAAAAATTTTCTTCGGATTCTTCCAGATAAAATTCAAAATACTGGAAGGAAACTGTAAAATGACGAACGGCGAATGTATTTACCGTAAAACAGTTGACTATATGTCTAGGATGGCTCTTGAGAAAGACGATTCAAGAAGGTTTTCAGTGATCTGGAAATTTCGTGTTACAGGAAATTGGGTCGCGGCGCGCGTTGCATCAAGTTTGGAAATGGGCCTTTAAGCGGGAATATTTAGGAAACTAAAATGGCGGCGTTACGCAAGCGCGCAAGCGTTACGACCGATCACGTTTACGCAACGTTTTAGGACAACTCGGCATCTATTCGGGAAGTCGAGAGGAGTGCTCATGGCGAGAGCGGCACTTAGGCGCTCCTTCCGAAACTGGCATTCTTTTCCTTATTCCTTAGGTGATTATAAAACCTTTTCACGCTTCGTAAACTACAGTCCTTTAGATTCGAATGTCGAGCCTTGATTTCATTGGCAAGCTCCTCGTAAGTATGTTTCTGTTCGATAAGAAACCGGCGGACAAAGTCTTTATCTAAGACATTTTCTAACGCCGCCATCTTAGTTTCCTAAATATTCCCGCTTAAACAAAGATTGTCAGTTTCAATGCCATAAACCGAAAACAAAACACCCAAGACGAATCGTAATCCGTTTCCAAAATTCCATACGAAAACGAAAAACAAAAAAGAAAATTAAAATCCGTTTTTTTAGCCACAGAAAAAGAAAAACGTAGAGCATCAAGTGAATTTTAATTCCGTTTCCTTCCCGACGAGGAAAAATGGAAAACGAAAATGGAAGTCCAATTTCGTTTTTTCACTGCAAAGAAAAACGAAAAACGAAAATAAAATTTGAGTTTGATTTTCCTATGCAATTGAAAATCGGTTGGCACTAAGGTAATAAAGGGGTAAGTTTCTAAAGAAACTGTGGTGCTGCGTCGGTGGGAGAGTAAAGCAGGTAATTTAGTGTTAACAACTGGGTTGAAAACGTAAATTAGCCACCGTAAAGAGTAAAAAAGCTGACGTTTCGAGCGTTAGCCCTTCGTCAGAGCGATAGATCGCTCTGACGAAGGGCTAACGCTAATTTACGTTTTCAACCCAGTTGTTAACACTAAATTACCTGGCACTAAGGTACACGGATTATTGCTCTATCATTGTGCTTGTCCTCGGGAACTCTTCAATATACAGTCCACAGATATTCTCACTAAAATTTCTTATCAAGCCCCAATATTTCTGTCTGGACTTGAGGCTCGCTTGAACAAAAGCAACAATACCAATCCGGTCAGTGCAGACTGCAGACTGCAGACCCGGTAAAAAATGCCGAGGTGCAAAACGTAGACTACAGACCGCAGACTGGGTACGAAATGCAGACTGAGAATTTTTACTGTTTTTTCGTCTGATACTTGATAACATGTCATCTTACAACTTACCGAGCGTCACGCAAGCGCTTTTCCGCGATCATCTTTCACGATTATTTGCACTATTGTGGAATATTTCTTGCCTGTTTCTTGATCACAATCGTTCTTACTATAATTTCAAGCTGTTACGGGAAAATTTACTAATTTTTCCGTGTGGTTCTTATTCGGAACATATTTATTCGTAAACTTTCACATTTAACCATTTCCAGTCCTTTCATTTTAGTGTATAAAAACCACAGTAGCTTTTGGATTATTGTTGTTACTCGCTTTCATTATATGCACCTTCTTATCTATTACTGGTTTTTTGTTCGATAAATATAAGTGTTAATTGTCTTTCAGGAAAATATTGGTTCTCATGGTAGTTAGCAGCTGAGTTTATACTCGTAACTTTAATTTCTTTTCATACGATAGTTTCCACACCAACCTTGCGTAGATAAGCAGAAACGTTTAGTTTCAACAAGCAGCGCTAGCGACTGGCAGGCGTACGAGGATTCACAATGAAATAAGAGAACAACCTTCGTTTTCCATAAAATTGTAATTTACAATCCTTGAACTTGAAAACAATCCGAAGATTCATTAAAAATATCACTTACTCCGAAGCGCTCGGAGTTTTACAGATGTTCAAAAGCTTTTTCTGTTGACAAAATCGATCATTACATTTCGTATCGTGTGTTTTTCCTGTGTGAAGCAACAAAAGGTGCCGGCCACTGACGTTAACACGAAAATCAAATAACACCAAAACAAATAACTTTGGCTACCGATTTCTAGTGAATTTTTAAAGAACAATCTTCTTTTAAGTTTCAAGACAATTTGAAGATTCTAAACAGATATTACATACTAAAATGCGAAAGTTATACACCACAAAATGGATAAATAGGTCTGAAATGAAATTCTATCTTGTTCTTGATTATAGGTTGCCTATCACGTGACCAAAATTTACCCAGGTGGAAATCCAAAATGACCGTCTTGGCTTAGTTATGTCACTCAAAACTCGTTCCCGTTTGTCTCATTTGATAAAGAGGGAATCATTAATGTTTTCACTAAGACAGTATTGCCTTGATTTTCCAATATTTAAAATGATAGAAAGTAAATTTCACTTTTCACCCACATTTACTTCCAATCTTTTCTTTTGAACCAGAAACACAAATGATATATATATGTTATTTGCCGGCTGGGAGGTCCGTATGGTGAAAAACATTTCAAGACCGAGGTCACAGTTTTTCACCATACGGACCGACCCTTAGCCGGTAAATAACATGTTTATTTTTTTTAAACTTGACGAAATTCTTTGCGAAAGAACCCGAATGATTTAGGGCTGTAAATACTGCAAGATCTTTCATAAACTGAACAATTTTTGAGCGAATAAATGGTAGTTAAAATAGAGGTGATGCAAATTAAAGAGAGATGCCTCAGGGAACATTTTCATTTCTGTAACGATAAAGGTGATTTAATAGGCTTCCAAACAAACTTTGAAACATTATTTTTACAAGTATCTGTCACAATCTGACACCTGTCAATTAGTGAGAGCATAAGAAAAAAAAAGCGCAAGAACATTTGAAAAACAACGGAACTAGTTTGGCGAGGACTGTCACGACAATGTTTTCTTCAAAAACAGTCAATGGTCTAACAAAAAGTATTATTCACTCTCATCGACGATTCATTCATGTGCGAAGATTTACCTCTGTTCATTAAGTTAAAGACGAGGAAAGTAAATGTGAGTAAATTCAATTTTTTTATTTTGAAGTTGTGAGAGTTTGTTCGTTTGTTTGCTAAAATGGCGTGTGTAAATCTGGTCTTTCCTCCACAAAAACGAAATTCGAATGGCACACTCCAACGAAACAGACGGGGATTTAATGCAGCCTTTTGTCATTAAACTCCTTCAGTTTCTATTGTGCAATTTACGGTACAAATGTCCAAATTGAACGGACTTGGAAAGACTCACGCGTAAATTTGTTGTAGAACTTAAATTAAAACTTCGCTCGCTCTTTTACTACGAACAAATTGTTAAAGAAAATTCAGATATTAAATGAATGAAATTTCCATCGTTCAGTTTAACCGTAACCAAATATTTCACGTTTTAACTTTCTATGTACTTTTTGTGAACGATTAAAATTAATTGGAGACGGTTTTTTGTCCGCTTGTCAACCAGCGTAATTGACACTATTGCTTATACAAATTCATTCTGAAACCAATATTTTTCTGTCGACCAAAGTGATTTGAGACAGAGAAAACGGAGGATTCATAAGTTGTTTATTGGCTTGAGGTAGTGACCGATGTGTTTGCTTAAAAATACTGCCCAACCTGAAAAACGGGATATATTTATGAAAAATGGCAACGAAAGTTGGGATGTACTCGGCGACTCACGAAAGCGTTACCGTGGCCCATGGGCAGAGATAGGAAAATACTGACCGGGTAAAGAACCAATCAGATTGCAGGATTCGTTACCGTGCCCTAGCCCGTGCAATAAATGTTTAAAACACATGACATCATTCACCCTTGTCAAATGTAATAGCATGATCATATCAATTGTAATGCATTCTTATCCAAAGGTTACTTTGTTTCTTTGCTACATTAGCAAACAATGAACTTCTGCTCGTACTCTAAATATGACAATCAACCACAAAATTCCCTAAACCAGATAACATTAAACATAATCCAAAAAATCATGTAAGTCATCTGTCAATTCACGAGTTTACTCACAGAGCACTTTGATTGATTTTGAGACTGTTTCCGTCGTAGAAACAGATGGAATATCTAAGTAGTTTTCGTTTAATTTCAAAGAGACTTTTTCCACTCCTTTTTTGTCCTTAATGAAATATTCCGATTTGTGCAACAATAGCACCTCACACTAGTTACTTCGTACCTTTTACAGCTTTTACGATTACTAGTTTAGCTTTCACTCTAGCATGATGTATGCATGTTAGAGTGCTCTTCGAATAAAAGTCTGCTGTGGAGCCAAAATGCTGTCTCCTCCTTGACGTCCGTACAAGCTCACTCGAAGTAAATCTCCATGTACTAGGAAATCGTGACGAATTTCCATTCTCGCAAGCCGAGTGGTCTCTACCGATTTAATTCCCCCCGTTTTGTACGTTCCCGCGAAGTCCAGCCAGGGTGCGCGAAAACTTATCGTCACAAAGCCTCATTTATTATTCTCATTTTGCGCGCGAGTTGGCTGGCGTGATGTCTGTACAGAATTTACCAACTTAATAAAAGTAGATGTAGATGTAAATGAGATGCCACTATCAAATATTTAACCTGCGCAATATTCGAGAAATTCATCTTTTTGACCGATATATGATCATTTTTTAAACAAAAATGCGAACCAAGACCAAAACTGTTCCTTCGAATTGATATATTTTCAACGTTCATAGGTGTACACACACTGATTTTCACATGTGTCGATCTTATATTTTTATTGGTTTACATGAGGAACCGGAGAATTTTTACAGGGAAAAGCGAATCGTTACCCCAGTGACTGGCAATTTGTTTACTTTTTTTTGGTGGTTTTATCTCTCGTTGGTTTGGTGACTACGCAAATATTAATATGTGAAAATCAGATTATATGAAGACTTGAAATTCCCCTAAGTGTAACGATAGGATTTTTAAGTTATCGAGTTCTTTTATGCTAGCGCTAAAAACATATAAAATTCAACGTAGAAAGCTACGTTCAGCAAAGCGTAAACGCTACCAGTTCTCATTCAGTCACCCGTAAACAATCTGTCACCTGTCATGTCCTTTTGTGTAGTTGTTATCCACCGGGACTCTTTTGAAAGTAATTAATGTTGTAAAAGGCGAAATTCCACTTAGCCAATAGTGTAGTAGATTACCTGATTCTTTAGATTATTCATGGCATTACCTCATCCATGTACGTTAGGCTTAAATAGAACTGTTTTGAAAAGCTTTTTGGGCAGAGAAGAAAGAGAGAGAGAGAGAGAGAGAGAGAGAGAGAGAGAGAGAGAAAGAGAGAGAGAGAGAGAGAGAGAGAGAGAGAGAGAGAGAGAGAGAGAGAGAGAGAAGAAGAGGGTCGAGCCAGTTCTGGCCAGGTCTGTTCTGGTCAAAAAGTGCAGTAGAGCTTGCAGAATAAAAATCTACGTTGGAGCCAACCCTGTTGTTGTTAGTCATTGTCTCAAGGATAATCAACAGCCTTAAAAGATTCCGGTCCTTCCCGCAGACAGCGAGTGCCCCCAAGGAAAGCCTTTACCCAGAAGGAGTTTATAAGAGTCGTCCCCGTCCGTCCGTCCGTTTATCGTGAAGGCAAAACCTGTTTTCACATAAGAAAGATTGTGGCCGCTTTGATAAAAATCAATTGCAATGGCCGCTTTTGTTTAAAACAGAAGATATCAAGAAACGGGCAAGGAATATTTAAATGATAATTACTGCGGCAGTCAGCGTTATGAGATATATTGCAGCCAACTGAGGGCGTAGTCTGCCTAATGACCTCTGCCCATCCCACCTCCAGCCCACACAAACTTTTTTCCAATTCCCATCACGACGAATGCACAAGTTTTCTTATCACACAACTGCCCAAAATTAAAAGAAAATTTATTCCAAAAGTCTTAAAAGCTCACATACCGAATTCAACTATACCTATATTCAGCAAGTCCAAGAACTGCAAACCTAAGCCATAACATGAATGAGCTGGCTCCAACAGCCCTTTGATTTTCATTACTTCCACGTCTCGAGCGTCTGTCTTTCATTAAAAACAAAAACAAAAAAAATTTTATAGGCATTCTTTTAAAAATCTGAAAGTTTCCTGAACGGGAGGTTTGTGGGGGAGGGCGGGATGGACAATAGGGGGGAGGTGGGGACACAGTAGGGGCGAGGTAAACAAAGTTTCATTTTAACTCACTGCGTTCGCACACATGAAAATTATTTTCTAAACCGTTATAGGAACTTGCACAACACGACAACCACAGTCAAATGGGTTGGTAACTCACGGAGAGCCAGTATAAGCTTTATTACTGTATTCGAGCACTATGTGTATAAACGGTCACATTGCTTTTTGTCCTACAGAAATACGATACGCGAAGCTATATCCTCATTAGGCTAGTACATTGCACAATACATATGATACGGTTAAATTATAGTGAAAGCACTGATTATAATCATACAAAACTAGGCTGTAACTAAAAGATAGCAAAAACGTTCGCGTGTCCCATCAAGCGTGGAAACTTAATGATAGCAATTAAATACCTAGGCTAGGTGAAACTGAAAGCCGTGCAGATATATCTTCTTGAATATACAAGTCTTTGGCGTAATCGGATTTCCACCGCCCGTGTAATTTTAATAACCTGTCTGATACAGGGCCGCTAGGTGAATTTACGGCAGCGGTTGCCCCACCAGACCTAAGACTGTGTAACCCAAAAAGTTTGGAGTCGTAACCTAGAGCCTTGAGAGCTTCCAAAAAGATTTCTCGACACCTAGAATACGAAATTCCTTTGTTCCCTAAAACATAAGTATTATAATTTTTCTGAAATACTAACTGCCTGATTAGGAGACCGTCTGCATTATGGTCCATTCTTGCAGCAGACATACCTAAGGACCATATGAACTGGACAAGTGGCATTGTCCGTTCTAGCAATAATAGCTTTATTACCTTCCCTGTAGACATCTGTTTTACTACTTGGTATAACAATGGACATATGGTCATCTGCGAAAGTTATATGCGAAGCTTTGATATTTGCTAACTTATTGAATCTGAAGAAACCTGCAAAACCTAAGAGGACTATGACTGAAATTCGCAGATCTTTTAGATTAGCGTCTACCTTGTCATGTTTAGGATTTATTCTCTTGACCATATCAATAGAGAGAGGGAGCTTCCTATTCTTCCGTTGTGTGCCATTACGTTTCGCGGCTTCAACAACATTTCTACACACTCCGGTTTTCAAAGGATTATTACTACAAGTTACGTCTACTACATCGTGTAGCCAAACTAATGCAGCATAAGCCATACTAACAGTGCTGGGAGAACCAGTCTTCCTGTGAAGTTGAGACAAATAGGCCGCTACAACAACAGGCTCTTGTGGCAAAACGAATTGAGCCTTAACATCATTGCACCAACGCATAAATTTTTGACACTCAAGTAAATATCTATTCATCGTCGAAGGTTGTCTGGCCTTAAACTGATCAGTAATGAGGCGCAGCTTGAAGGGAGCTAAAGATCCATAGAGACTTGCTCAACAGGACTGAGCAGAGATGGCCTGTTGAGGAAAACAAAAGGAAAAAACACATAACAGAGGGGTGTAGAGGTGGAACAATCTTACTCACTGATTCATGGCTAAAAGGGAATAAGTACTACAACCCGGGTGCTATTAGTTCTCAACACCACTACATTCATTAAATGAAGATCAAAAAAGGGCAATAAATAACACAGCACTATTGGAGTGCTATTCGTTGTCGACACAACTTCTGCACATTGACACTGGCCGAAAAGAAATAAATACCTCAACACTGGTAAGGTGCTATTCGTTGTCAGCACATCTACCTCATATAAAATGATCAAAGTGAAATAAATAACGCAACACTGCCAAGGTGCTATTCGTGGTCAGCACAAATTCCATTCGCTAGATTGTGGCCGAAAGGCCAACCTTTCAGATTCTTACCCCGAAGGAACGAAATTCAATCTTAAAGCCACTACATATCCCGGAGTAGTTGGTGAACCCAGAATAGAATTGTGATTTCGCTCGTGCGTCAAAGCTTGAGGCATAGACAAAACTCTTAAATCCTGGATGAAACTGCAATAAATATTGGTTAACAGGGGCCAAAACACGGCTGACTTCCACAGTGGAACAATAAGGGTGCCCTTGGCTCCTTGACTATATATATAGGCAAGCGTTCTGGGAATAAGATAAACTGGCGGAACTAACCAGCAGTTCTCAACTTCCCACGACTGCATAAATGCGTCAATGCCCGACGTTTCCGGGTTCCAAAATCTAGAAAAATATCTGGTGATTTTTCTGTTATAATACGTGGCAAAACAATCCACCGTGTGGGGACCCCAAAGACTATCCAAGTCTTTGAAGACGTCCTCAGTGACCTGCCAATCGCCAAAATCCACCAGTTTGCTAATAAAATCTGCCCTGGTATTGCGATCTCTAGGAACCCATTCAATATCCAAATGAATGCTGTGTTCGTAACATATCTTGAATATTCTTAAGGCAATCGTGTGTAACTCGAGTTTCATGCTACCGACCTCAACGATTTTGGCAGTGGCCTGGTTATCGGTATACCACTTAATATGTGATGAACTTAAAATCGGAAGGCAAGACAGAAGTGAGAATTCAATTGCACTTAATTCTCGCCACATAGAACTTCTACTCCTTTCGTCCTGCGTCCACATTTTGTGGCAAACATGCTCGCCGTCATTAATATAAGAAACAGCTCCGCAGGCAATATTACTAGCATCTGAAAAAGTTACTTTCTGAGGTTTGCGGAAAACAAAGCAATTTTTAAAATTGCGTAGATGGATATTGTTCTTCCAGAAAACGATTTCATCCTTACAATACTCGTCTAAAATCATAGGTGTATCCCAATGCTCAGCAATAGCAATTGTCATCTGACAGTGTCTGGTAGTAATTCTGGGTAAATTTCCAGTAACCGGACATGTAGACATAACTTTCCCGACAAATGATGACAATTGTCTAGCCGCAATTGTGCATTTTTGAGCTTCAATAAAAGCCACACAATCAACGATACCTTGGACCCTCCTGGGTGTAATACTAATAGTACCAAGAGTGGAGTTCCAGACCAATCCTAACCAAGTAATGATTTGCGTTGGTTCCCAAATTGACTTTTCGCTATTTGTTATAAATCCGGCTAAACGTATGTCGGAACTAACCCTACTAGCTATAATATTTGCCGAATTATAGTCGTCAGCTATGGACCAACCATCATCTAAAAATACCGCGATGTAAATACCGTTAGCCCTCCACCATCCAACCAAAGAACTGTGAAAACGTAAAACCGCGTCTCCCCTTGAAAATCCCATGAAAAACCTAAGAATGTTTGATGTGGTTGGAAGATCTCGACGTGATGATAGCCACTCTTAAGATCAAAAGAAAACATATAACCATTCTTGCGAAACATAAGAGAAGCAATTTTCCAATCATCGTACTTAATCCTCAGTTTCTTAATGAAATGATTAACATATCTTAAAATCAAGAATTAACCTTTTCTTTCCATTAGGCTGAACGGAAGCCGACAATAGATTGACGACATGGGGTTTGTAAGACAATTGCTTTATGCGTTCGGACTCCAGTAGCTCAGTGATAGAATTCTCTACGAAATCAATATTTTTCAGGGCAGAAGCGTTGTTCTTTGAATAATATGCAGGCGGCACATCCCAGAAAGGCAAACGATAACCAAATTTAATTACGTTTAGTATGAAGGATGAAGCACCTAAAAATACCCAAAATTCTAAATTTTTCTTTAAATTGCCCTTTACATTGTAATTCCGTCCTAGATCTTCGTCAATTTCAAAACGATTCAGTACCTGAAGTACATCCGTAAACTTGTCGAATTCCTCATGAATGTCCGATTCCCTTAAGTCCGGTTCCTGAAGCGTTTGTGGTGGTGGAGGCTGGGGCAAAGGCGGTTGGCTTGTACTGGCCGAAAGGGCGGGGATAGAAGCTGGAGGCCCTGCAATCTTTGGCCCAGTGACCTGGCCTTCCGCACCTGAAGCAGTCCCCATGTGCATAAGAGCTTGGACGGCCTGCGGGTGTCAAGATGGGACGAAAATATGAATAGTTAAGTAACGACAAATAACAACCAAAGAGCAAAACTTGGTCATTAACACAAAAGAAAAGGAGGGGCGGGTGGGCGGGAAAGCAGAATACAGCAAAGCTATATTGGTGACGCGAGAAGTGAAATAAGCATACGGCTACTGGACTATATAGCAGTACATGCTATGACACCTTACTCCCATGTGGTACAGAAATCATGCATACTTGACAGGTATTACGTAACAGTAATGCACACGAAGGTGAGATAGAAAAACAAAGTGTGAGCACTGACGTTCCGTAATAAACTCCTATAGAAAATACATTTGTTGTGGATAACTCTAAAATGGTAATGTATTGCCAGCGGACAGCAAAAACGTGTGAAGGAAACGAAAATTGCAAACATCTTAATTTTTCCCCAACAAAGCCTTAATAGTGGGATTGGGAAGGACAGGAAATTAACTGCTGCTAAAGCAACGCTGCTATGCTCCCTCACTTCCCGTAGAACCCCTCCCCTCCCACCCCCCATCCGCTCCTTATCCTGATGATGATGATCCCTCTGTTAATTACGTGACCACGCAGGCTGGAATGGTAGAAAAACTCGAAAAATTCATCAGTAAGTATAGTAAGAGCTTGGCGGAAGAAACAGAAAGGTAGTATTCTCCCTCTTCCCCTCCTATCTAATTTGTTTCAAGTCAGGGAGGGAGAGCTAGAAGTGTACCTACGGTCCTTGTTCTCCGATTATGAAAATTTGTGCAACTAGTTTTAATCTTCCATGGCAATAGTTTCCAATGACACCGAACAAAATTATATTATAATAAAAAGGAAACGGAAGACCGTCTCATATGTTATTTTACAAGGAGCCAGGTAGGAATAGATTGTTTGGTGACTGCACCTAAGATATCTTACAAGAAAGCAGGAAGAAGATGATGTTGATACAATCAAAGAGAACTCACACGCTGAACTAAAATAGACACGCATTCACTTGGTTGAACCAGATCAAGACCTTTTGGGTAAACAATCTCGTAAACATGCATTCGATAAAAGAGTGCTAAATTGAATCTCTATCTCCGCAGTATACACATTCATCGTCCGCCTTAAATAATATTAGAATTATGAAGAAATTATATTAGTAAGTCAGCACTAAGCCCCATCAGCGCTACGTGCAGATATTCCGTTGTTGGTATACACCTGAGAGATGAAAACCGTATCAGAAGGAAGTATCAGGGGAATTTTGGGCTATTTGAACTTTAAAATTCAATACATCCGCAGACACAAACCTTTTGAGAAAACTCCATCCAGGTGAAAATAACCTTTATTGCTCTATTCAACGTAGGCACTAAAAACTTTTAGATCTAATTTTTGGTCTCATGAAAACTGATTTATGTATCATAATTAGTTTAATAAATAAATAAATAAATGTGGGGGTAGAGTCTACCTTGGCATAAAGTGCTCAATGCTGTGGTAGTAGAGCTAAATATACATAAGTTGAAGAATTAAAGAGGACGCATCGATTCTCTGTGACTGAGTTTCGCCGAAACTCAGAGTCACAGAGAATCGATGCGTCCCCTTTAATTCTTCAACTCATATCATAATTATTTTATATATTTGATGAACTTCGATTGAAAAGGTATAGAAAACTGCAGTGATAAACATAATACATATATCTTAATAGACGTTTTGGTGTGTAGTATCGTTGAACATATTTACGAATTGTGCCGTTTTGTTTTTTGCCAAGTGTTTCTGCTCATTTCCTATAGGGCGGGAAAAGCAAAGCGGATAAAGAAGCGCAGCGCACGCTACAGGTTAAACAGTCTTTTTTTTTTCAGTACAAAATAAATAACTGCACAATATTGCAAGATATTTTTACCCATCCACACGTTATTTGTACTCTAATTGTTGAGTTATATAATAAACCCATACATCATAATAATTACAACTCCTCAAATTTGATTGGTGCATTAGCTGCTTTATTTTTCACCAATTATTCTGTACAGCTGTAATCGGACAATGTCATCGGACAGTTGGCTGTAATCGGGCAGTTGAAGCAGCCAATTATACTTAATCCACTCCGCCAAATTGACTAATCACAGAATCATCACAATAGCCATAGCAACAACCACTGATCCTTAGAAAATATGAGAAATTCTAAAATGGAGATTCTTCTTTTATTTTAGAAATTGTCTCTACCGCAGATATTTGACCCAATGTATTTGATGTTTTCGGAAATTGTAACGGTCAGGATTAATTGGCAACAGGACTTCCTGTCGTCCAATTCTGTCTGTAATCATACTCGTGATTGATAAATTAGACTCCCGCTCGGTGGTCGTCCAATTTTGTTAAACACTCGTATGATTACAGACCGAATTTGATTTCACTCG